TTCTGCCTCCATGCTCTCAAGAAGGGAGTTTCCCATCTTATAAGTGTGCTGCTGGCTATTACTGCCCAGGTGCAGCACCCTGCACTTGTCAGTATTGAAACACATCCTGTTTTTGTTAGCCCACCCCTGTAACCTATCCAGGTCTTGCTCTAGTCTTTCCCTCCCTACTAGCATGCTCACGTCACGCCCAATTTTGGTATCATCAGCAAATTTAAACAGGTTGCTTTTCACCCCGTCGTCCAAATCACTGATAAAGAAATTGAACAGTGCGGGCCCAAGGACTGAGCCCTGGGGGACTCTGCTGCCCACTTCCCCCCAGGTCGAATATGACCCGTCCACCACCACCATCTGAGTACGACCCTTCAGCCAATCTGCAATCCATCTGACTGTGTAGGCATCAGTGCCACAGTCGCCTAGTTTTTTTAATGAGGATATTGTTGTAAAGTGAACTAGTTGGGGAGCTTAGGGGGGCTTTTCTTTCTTCTACAAAATAATATCTTGTTCCATTAACCCCCTGAATTTGAGCTTGGTTCCTGTTTCTCTACATGGGCAGTAAATTGACAGGGAAATGAAATTGACTTTCTATTTTCACTTCACTATTCTGTGCAGTGTATCATTGTGACTGTGCAGTGTATCATTGAACAAGGGACAAGGATAACTCTAAAAGCTGAGTGAGCCATTTTCCAGTACAGAAGAGAAATGATCCTTAAGACAGGATTTAATTAATTTATCTTATCTTTAAGACAAGATATAGCCCCCCCAGCACACACAAACACATATATGGAGTTACCATGAGAACAGTGGGATTCTGTTGCAAACTCCAAATGTAAAAAAGAAAATCACCATTTCCAGTGATGGGTCAAAATAAGAAGTAAAGCAAAGTTAGCTGTCTATTTTGCAGAACACTGATTTGTCCCAGGATCCTTGTTTCTGCTGCTGTTGCCTCGAAGGTTTTCAGAGACAGTAAGAGGAAAGGCATTATATGTGGCTGTAGACCTCTTTTCCTTTCACGTTGTTTTTTACTGGGAAGGGAAGAAACCCAGAGAAAGTGCTTCTGTTCCACCAAGATCACAGCTATGCTATTCCAAGACTTCAAAGCTGACTCGTGATGGTAAAAAAAATAAGTCTGTACCTTTTTCCTGTTTTTTATGGTGTAAGATAGCCTGAAATAAAATAAAGTAGCAGTCAGGTAACAGGGGCTGATTTATCTTTTCCTTTAGAAATAAATTAGGTCTATCTCTTAACATCTTTGGACAGTGGCAGGATTGCACAGTGGCAGTATTGTAGCCAACGAGGTTAATCCAAGGTGTGATTATTGCTAATTGAAAACTCTTCCTGAGATTGAAAGCTGAACATCTGAGTTAGGAAAGCACAATTATACTGTTTAAGGAGATAGAACTGCCAGGGGCTTCTCAAGGCCACCAAGTCTAACCACTTTTGTGCACAGGCAACTATTTTCCCAGAGTCATAGAATCATAGAAAATGAGGGTTGGAAGGGACCTCAGGAGATCATCTAGTCCAACCCCCTGCTCAGAGCAGGACCATTCTCAATGAAATCATCCCAGCCAGGGCTTTCTCTAGCCAGGCCTTAAAAACCAGTCACTTGGACTGAGACATATGTAAAGGCAATGATTAAGACTCTTCAAAAATATTTATGTTTGTTTAATACTGAATTCCAAAGACTAACTTTGTAATCATGGTTTCTCTTACCAAAACTTCTGGCAATGGGACAGAAATGCAATTTTATCTTTGAAGCAGGGTGTTCCTTAGGCTCCCTGCCAATGTAATTGGCTTATTCATATCCTTCCCTACTGATTACCTCAGGGCACCCTACATCCCTACAAGGCCTATAAACTCTGATGATTTCAGTGCATGAAACTCATAAATATTGTTCTGGAACTGGCATGGTCCTTACAGCTTTCTACCCTCAAACTAATTATTGCTGTCAAAACTGCCCAATACATTCGCACCCTTTCCTTCAATCTCACATTGTAAAAATAGGGGAGGCTCCTAAAGAGCAATGGGGAAATTAATCTTTTCCTTCCACTGGGTGCTAGGAAAATATCCTCCAGGAACTTTGCATAGGAAGCTCTGGGCCACTATGTTTGCCTTTCAGTTTTGGGTTTCCAACATTCTCAGCAAGAATCCTTCAACCAGGCCATTCTTCTGTATTATATATGGGCCATTCAGGTCACCCCCAGTGGCCAGGACCAGGTCCAGCAAGGCGTTACCCCTAGTGGGTCTGTGCACCTCCTGGATAAGGTGAAGGTCCTGTAATACAGCCAGGAACCTACGCACGTGGTCAGACCTGGCTGCCTGCTCCTCTCAGCAAATGTCTGGGTAGTTTAGGTCACCCATGACAATGACATCCCTTGACCTAACCGCCTCCATAAGCTGACCGGAGAAGTCCCAGTCCATCTCTTCCCCCTGGTTGGGTGGTCTGTAGTCAACACCCACCGTAAGGTCCCTTTTGCCATGCCCCCCTTCTAGTTTGACCCACAGTGTCTCTGCCCGACCCTCCTCTAACCCGAAGCTAATCTTTGATGATGTGAGTGTCGCGGGCATCTCCCCAGATGAATGGCCAGGCCACAGTGAAATGGCAGAATGCTAGGCCATTACACGGGCCTCTGGACAGGTGACCCCGTCACGCTCATGAGGCAGGGAAGTCAACCGCCTCGAACTGCCAACGAAGCAGGAAGGAAATTGCAACATAACTGGCTAAGCAGAAAACAATGAGGGGACTGTGGTGAGGAAGGGGCTATTGACGAGTGAAAACAGAATGCTGGCAGGAAGGTAGCACAATTGGCCCGTAAAGATAAGTAAAAAAGAGTGAAGGTATAAAAGGGTAGAGCCACGAGGCCCTGACGGGGGAAGTTTGAACCGTAACTTCAAGCACCAAAGGGCCCGCTGCCTCGGGTAGTTCTTGAGGCCTCCGCAAAGAGACTAACGTTCCCAGCCATGAAGCCGCTCCTTTTGTTTGCTGTAGTGGTAAGCATGCACGTAAGACTGTAGTCATTTATGTTTGTATTTGTCTGTCTTTCCTGTAAAAGACATGAGCCGTTGACCAAGTCTGGATCTAGGGTCTTGGCTAGCCGCACCAAGGTCATCCACGATCTTGAAAGCAAGGGGCCTTGACCTGAACCCCGTAACCCAACAGACGTAATTTCCCTTTTAGCTGTTTATAGCTATTTTGATTGATTATGTTTTGATTGTTAAATGACCTTTTAAGAAATATGAGCCATTGACCAGGTCTGAGACTAGGGCCCTGGCCAGCCACACCAAAACCACTCGTGGTTTTGAAAGCAAGGGGCCTTGACTCGAACCTCGTGACCCAATGGACATCACTCCCCAGCTTTGATTGTTTGATTATTGTGTGTTGTCATAGATTAGTATTATATAAGAAATCATTTGCTTGAGTTGTCAATATTTTATAAGTTAAAGCCAAATAAATATTGCATATTAATCATAAACTGTGTCCTCACTGGTGTCCAGCCCACCGACCTAGCCACAACTGGGCATTTTCAACCTAGTGCGACAGTGAGATGCTCTTTGACATACAGCGCAACCCTCCCACATTTTCCCTCTGTCCTGTCCCTTCTATATAGGGTGTATCCCCGAATGCCCACCACCCAGTCGTGCGTAGGGTCCCACCAGGTTTCTGTGAGCCCTACTAAGTCTGGATTCTTACTCGCAATCAGGAGGCACAGTTCCTCCTGCTTGCTCCCCATACTACGAGCATTGGTTTAGAGGCACTTGAGGCCTCCTGAGGGTGCACACGCCTCCCCCCTACTCCCAGAACTGTTGTGGCCCCGTACTCCCAGGACGTTGTTGTTTACCTGGGCATCCCTTTCTCTTGTCACCCTGAATGCTGGCGAAGCATCCTCTTCACTCAGAGTGGCTCCTTCCCACAGCGAAGCTAATTTAAAGCCCACCGTACGAGATCAGCCAACCTAGAAGAAAAAATATGTTTGCCCTTAGGGGAGAGATGAAGCCCATCCCACCCCAGCCCCCCACCTAAAAGCCTTGCTGAAGTCCAGATACACTATAACCACAGCATTCCCTTCATCACCCAAGTAGTTATTTTGTCAAAGAAGGATATCAGGTTTGTTTGACATGATTTGTTTTTCATAAATCCATGCTGACTGCTTGCAGTCAGACTGTCCTCCTCCAGATGCTTGCAAATGACCTTCCTTAGGATACGCTTTAGTAACTTCCAGGTTATTGAGGTGAAGCTTACTGGTCTGTAGTTCCCTGGGTCCTCTTTCTTGCATTTTTTAAAGAGGGGAATTAAGTTAGACGTTTTCCAGTCCCCTGGTACCTAGCCTGTCTCCCATGACTTCATGAAGATCATTGCAAACGGCTCCAAGATCTTTTCTGCGAGTTGCTTCAGGACCCTGGGATGAAGTTCATCTGGCCCTGCGGACTTGAATTCATTCAGACCCAACAAAATCTCTCTGACAGTCTTCTTTGTTATCTCCTCCCTCAGTTTGCCCCCTTTCTTATCCAGATAATCCGTGTTAAGTGTCTGGCAGTTTACATTTTTTGTGAAGACTGAGACAAAGTAGCTGTTGAGTAGCTCTGCCATCTTTGTATCTTAAGTAGGAGTTCCCCTGGACTGTTAACAGAGGATCCACAGCTGCTTTGGTCCTTCTTTTCTGGCCAACATACTTACAGAATCTCTTTTTATTGTCCTTAACCTCTTTTGCCAGTGCAGCTTGTTCTTTATCTTTGCCTTCCTGATTTTGTCCCTGCAGGTTCTTGTATTTTCTGGTATGAGTCATTGGTGACTTGACCATTCTTCCATTGCCTGTATGCATTCCTTTTGCATTCGAGACATTTTAGAAGCTCCTTATGTAGCTACATTGGTCTCTTGCTGTCTTTCTTGTGCTTCCACTGTGTCGGGACAGTTTCTTGTTGGGCTCCCAATACTGCGCCCTCTAGAAGCTCCCAGCCCTCCTGGGCACTTTTATCCTTCACTCTATCCTCCCATGACACCATGCATATTAGCTCCTTGAGTTGAATGAAATCTACCCTTTTTAAATCTAGCATCCTAATTTTGCTGACCTCATGCTTTCCAGGCCTCAGGATCTGGAATTCAATACAACTGTAGTCACTTCTTCTCAAGTTACCCATCACCTTCACTTCCTCCACCAGTTCTTCCCTGTTGGTCAGGACAAGACCCAAGATAGATGATCTCCTAGTTGTATTCCTTATTTACTGGAATAGAAAGTTGTCTTGCACACAAGTTAGGAACTGGCTTGATATTTTATGTTTGGCTGCACTGTTCTTCCAGCAGATGTCTGGAAAATGGACATCAGTACCAACCCATAGCTTTTGGATAGCTTTGTCACCTGCTTGAAGAGTGCCTCATCTCACTCATCTTCTTGATTAGGTGGCCTATAATAAATCCCCAGCATTATATTGGTGGTGTGTCTTTCATCTTTCATCTTCACCCAAATGCATTGTGCTTTGCCATCTTCTTCCTGAATCAGAGAACAAGTGTATGTGTTTTTGACATACAAGGTAACACCACAACCTTTTCTCCCAACCCCATCCTTCTAAAACAGAGTGTAACCCTCAGTGTTAACAGGCTAGTCTAAGGGCTGTCCCCACAGGTCTTGGTGATGCCAATCAGATCATTGTTCTTTTCACAGGCATGAATAGGAGCAGCTTCCATTCACTTCCACCAGTGCTGAATTTGACCTTATCATTTACATGAGAAATATTCCCCAGGCCAACTCAAGATGTATATATTTATCTCCAAGAAATAAACAAGGCAACCAAAGTTTCTTATTCATTCACGGACAAACAAGAGTTGAAAGTAGTTTGCCTGGCCACCTAAAACCCTTGACATTTTAGATTCTTTCCCCACCCATAGCATTAATACTTTATATACAACAGAATACTTTAAAGAACATAGTTTTAGTACATCCTTGGGGCACTCAAAGATATTTTCCACTGGAGGTTCACACAGAAAAATTGCCTGAGATTATGCCTTCGGGGGCAGATTACTAATATACCTTATTTAAGTCAATACCTTTCTCCTTGGGTTTTGCGTCCTTAAAGTATATTTAATAGGAACATTTCTTGCGTCTAAATCAATATATAAATGCCAGCTGGAAAGCATCTAGGAAAAACTCCACCCTCCTTTGCGTACCTTTGCATTTTGGCTTGTGAAACTATTTCCATGCTTACCAGCTCTCTCATAAAGACCTCCAAGCAGCAGCATTAATCTGTCTGACAGTGAGATTTATGCAAGGTTTTTAGTAACAACAAGTGGCCTTATACGGCAGTTATCACCATTCTGATATTTGCTCTTGCAGTCTCCTTAAAGTATAAACTACTGCTCTTTTTCACATTTTGTACCACTTTTATTACACATTTCTGTCATTCCAACTTCAGCAATCAGACACTTCTGTATCAGAGAAAACACCTGAAAGCTGGCTTGCTATTTTGCACAGACATTTGGAGTAAGATGTTAGTGACCTTTATATTAAAATCTACACATAACACTTTATCCACATATGCATGCAGTCAGTGCAGTTATCTATGAAAAATACCATGATGCATTTATATTTGGACATAATGATTTTCTATACAAAAGTTTCAGAAAACAGTACAGAAATTATGACAGCCTATGCCTGAAAATGTAAGTGAACTATATACTTTATGTAGTTGTTAATGCACAATACATCCACTGCCTATGAATGTGATATTAGGAATGAAAAAAATAGGTTCAGGTGTGAAGAAAGACTACAAATAGAAACAAACCTCCTTTCAATTAGAACATGTACAGCTTTTATAAATGATTATAGAGAAGTTTGCTCATATTGAATCTATTAAAAAAACCCGACAAAGCAGTAAAAAGACACAGATCCTACCAGAAATTTTCTATATATGCAGAGGTTTAGGAAAGTAGTGCATATCCAACATTAATAAATCAAATATGGTTAGCATGCAGTCCGGAAAAATCTGTACTCCAGATCCTCTGTACAAAATCAAAGAGCTGGCAGCCCTGAGGATTCTATTTCTTTGATCCACAATGAAAAGGATAATAAAGCTGTACATACTCAGCCTCCTCTAGTTTTCACTTTCTTCAAGGGAAGGAGTCATGCTGATTCTGGACTCCAAGCAAGGCCCTGCAGAATTTTGTTCTTACGCTTCCCCATGTATCAGACCCTGACTTTAAAAGAAGTCCTCAAACTTTTCTGTCTCTTTACTTAATTTAATCATTTATATTAATTGTGATTTCTTTAGTGCTCATCACCAGGGTATTTTGAATCCTTTCTCATTTCTCTTTTTAAAGGGGTCAGTTCTGGCCTTGATATCTCTGTTTTCTTTCAAAATCTGACTGAACAATTTGTGCTCCTCCATATTCGCTTCAAGGACAGAATGCTTCCTTTTGTCATGGTAATTCTTATTCTGAAATGTTTCAAACTTATAATCAAGTACAGAAATAAATTTGCTCTTGTTCATACCATTGCTGCTGGTTACACATTTCAGATAAGTACTAGAAACTATATTTTGAAGATGATAATACAGAAAAGAATGTGTAATATTTGCTTATTTTAGCTTAGCCAAGAGAAGCTGTTCGATTATTTTACTTGGAATTGATCTATGAGGATCCAACTTGCAACTGACCCTATGCCAATATTTTGTCACCAATATTTTGCCATTCATATCACAAAACAAGCTGACAGCTGTAATGGGTGTGGCTGCCCCAGCTATACTGGGGAAACCATAGCAAATAAAGCCATTGTGCTTTCTCACATACTTATGCACGGCCTTTGCTGGCTTGAAGCTATGTATGGAGAACCTTCTCCTGTTTCCACCAAAGTCAGTGGGAATTCTGGCATTGACTTAATTCCCAGTAAAGCAAAAAATGACCCAGAAGGAATATTTTCCCTTCTTTTTTCTTTTGTAATGGAAACCAGTGTGTCTTATATGGTTGTTCATCCATTCTACCCAACAATAAATACACAGCAGTGCTCCGAGGATCCAGTTCTGATAGGGAAGGAACCCATTGTACGGACACAGAGGAAGGCCTGGAGTACCAACAATCGGACAGTTTTGTACCCGTTGAGGATGCCAGTCATGGGTTGGCAGTTGACTGCTCTTGGCAGATGTGAAGATCTTTTCTCAAGGTTCCAAAGTCCCAAAAAATAGTGAATCCCATTGTTTGGTAACCAGTGTGAGCACTTAATTTACATGTTCTTTATGGCAAGGCGCAGAATTATGGAGATAGTACTAGAAGAGAGTACTAGAAGAGAGTACTCCTTTCTTCAAAGGAGCTAATTATTTAAAAGGGGGGGAAAGTTTATTAATATGCTGATTCTTATTCATGAATACAATTATTATTTCTCTAGTACCAGGCAGTAGCCATTCTCTTGCAGCCAGCCAGCTTTATACCTGTTTAGCTCTGTTGACATCAGTGAGGTTATAGCCTTTTACAAGCAATGAGAAATCAGAATCAGGCCTAAAAGCCCTTCTGAGGAGGCTCAGCATCTGAGGACAGAAAAGAACATGGCAAATATATGGAAGGCAGTCCATTCTAATACTGAGAGAGCCAGCACATCATTTTTGGCAGAAAGCAACTGACAAAAGCCAATTCCACAGCTAGTTTCTTGTTAGGGTTTTTGGGGGTTTTGTTTTTGGTTATGAAACAGGAACATTTTTATTATAAAGGACTGACACCTATTTTAGTGGAGGAATTTCAATTGGATAGACTTTGTGGGAGAAATAAATTTTCTGGAGAGATTTGAATGAGGCATTGGCAGATTTGGTTTACAAGTTGTCCCAGACATAAATAAAGGGCGGCATAAATGAAAGCACTTAGAGAAGAGTGTGAGGAGGTAAGGAAGGAAGTGATTAGTGGAAGGTATGGCTGGACCACAATGTGTGGGAGCAAAGACGTAAGCATTGATTAAGGCAGGAACAGAATTGCACACAGCCCTGAAGGTGAAGACAGAAGACTGAACATGATGAAGAAGAGACCAGTTAAAGAATTAAAATAGGAAATTGATGCAGCCTGACTGGTGGGCAAGAAAGCAAAATAGCAGCTGAATCTAAGAAAGAATCAGAAAGGAGAGAGGGAAGGAGGATGGTTTTATAGAATTATAATATTAACAGCAATTGAAACATATACAATGACCAAGCCTTGGACTGGGGCTTTGGTAGTAGGGATTTGAGGACAGAACAGGTGTTATAAAATAGGAACCAATACCAGTAAGCAACAGTTTATATGTGGTGGGAGAAAAGGAGTCAAACATGACACAGGTTATAAACCTGGGTGATTGGAAGCATGATAAAATTATCAGCAGTAATTAAGAAGGAAGGGGTAAGGGATTAGAGGAGTTTGAAGAAATGTTTGGGGTTTTTAATAACATAATAGGACAAACTGGTAGTGAAATATACTGTATATTGAGTGTCTCTGGGTTAAAACAATCAACAGATTTGGGACCAAGAAGGAATTTACCCCCAGAACAAATTGGCAAGGGCTGTTAGGATTTTCCTTCCTTCCTCTGTAGCATAAAGACATGATCCATTGCCTAGGATTTTCTGGGCACACTTTTCCTAACAAATTCCATGCAATTTTGGGGACTGAAGGTCTTGGCGCTCTTTGTCTTTCTTATTCTCTACCTGTGGCACTTGCTAGGCTCTAGGTTTTGTCTGTATTAAAGATCGATAGTTTGGCCTGAGGAATAAAGGGGACTTTGTGGTGTGTGGAAGGCAGGTAAGAGGATCATTTTCTGAAACCTTTTATAATAAAGGTCTATTACACCATTGCCTGCAATTGCAGGGCGCTGGATTCAGTGATCCTATGTTCAGAGGCAGACAGAAATAGGGAACTGCACAAAGGTGGATTTGGGAGTCACTGTACAGAGATGATATGGAGATGGTCTTGGTGGTTGTGAAACAGATCCCAGAGATAGGCTTGGAAAGAGAAGTGGATTCTGAAAATAAAGAGTTATCAGAAAGCAACAAAAAACAAGAAAAAGAAACTTGTGTAAGATTTCCTGAAAGAGAAGTAAGGGATGAGAAAAGAATCAGAATAACACAGTCTTAAAAGCCCATGGTTCTTTCTGTGCTCATTACATAAAAGATGGTTTAATAAAGGGGTAAATTTTCATTTCCCTTGCACTATGTTTACCTGAACAATATGTGTGTAAGCTATCATAATACTGTACAAAGAAACAAATTATATTTCTGACTGCTAACACTATGCCGGCCAAAGATCTGGATACTGAAGAGGTGCTCTTTCTGCTTCATGTACCAGGAGCAGCAATGAAGTTCTTGGGTTGATTAGTTAGCAAATTGGTTGGCATGGGAGACACTACCAAAATTCCTAGAGCTTGGCTCTCCTATATAGTAGCCAGCACTTTCAAGTCTTACTCTACCCTTAGTGAGGAAATCCCCTGCTAGCTCATTTCAAATCTTTGGCTTCCACTGCATCTGGACTGTATGCAGCTGAAAACATGGCTCAGGATTTGGGCTTTGATCCAGGCAAGAACTTTAATATGTCCATAACTTTAAGCACTTAAGTAAGAGCCTTTGATTACAATGGGACTATCCACCTGCTTAAAGTTATGTACATGATTAGTGCTTTGCTGGATTAGGGTCTTTCCTTGTAATTTTTTCATCATTCTAGTTCTACTCATTTATGGTTGACTATTCTACCCTGTGATTAATAAATCATGCTGTACAGCTCTCTTATGAAAACAAAACTTACAAACAGCAAATGGCATCTATGAAAAATAAACACTTTTTTTGGAAACCAGTTTCATTCCCCTTTATGCCAAAGTATAGTATTTATGGCAGCTTCAAGAACAGCAGCGATGTGAAGTTTTAGTGCAATATTAATGTTTCTCATTTCAGGCTGGCAAGCAATTATTTGATTTTTTTAAAACCCTGACCTTTTAAATTTACTTTGGAAGTAAGGGTAAAAATCATCAACATCAACAATGATAAGGATATATAATTTATTTATAGATATGGTTCAAGAGCCTGACAGGTTATATTTGACATTGGAGTCTAAGGGTGTACAGGGAATGGGGAGACAATGTATGCTGTACTGTCAGCTGTAATAAAATGTTCAGCAAATTGTGACCATCCTGTTACTTTTTGTGACTCCTCTAGGTATTGAAAAACACTGCTCTAGGGCACTGTTCTATTTTTTTTTTGCTGGCGTTGATACTTTTCTGAGGTTTCAGAAACTAAAAGAGCTGCACTCTATAAAAGTGTAGCAGGCTTACCTTTTTGGAGCTTGGGTTGAGTCCCAGGATCCAAGATCTGCTGTTTGATTGATGGAGCCCTCCCACCAATCTGGAGGCAGCACAAGGGAAGCAATGCCCCGCCCTTTTCTGAAGGGCAGGGGCAAGGAGCAGCTGGACCTGAATTGGAACTGCACAGCTAGGTCTGGAGAACTTTGGGGGTGGAGCCCCTGAAGGGTATAAAAGTGGAGCGTGCTCAGCAGGCTGGGAGAGAGATGATGAGGGACAGCGAGGAGAGAGGAGCTCCAGAGACAGCCATCCTCAGGAGCCTGCTTGAGCTTCAGTGGTGTGCAAATCGGTGCATGGGGATCAGGCTCTAGGAGCACTGGTCAGGCCGCAGTTGGAGTACTGCGTCCAGTTCTGGGCGCTGCACTTCAAGAGGGATGTGGACAGCATGGAGAGGGTCCAGAGGGCCACTTGCATGATCAGGGGGCAGGCCCTACGAGGAGAGGCTACGGGACCTGAACCTGTTCAGCCTCCACAAGAGAAGGCTGAGGGGGGATCTAGTGGCCTGTTACAAACTAG